AGCATTCCCAGCTCTCCCAGCCTGGCTGAGCATTCCCAGCTCTCCCAGCCCAGCTCAGCATTCCCAGCTCTCCCCTCCATGCTGAGCATTCCCAGCTCTCTTCTCCAGGCTCAGCATTCCCAGCTCTCCCAGCCTGACTGAGCGCTCCCAGCTCTCCCAGCCTGGCTCAGCATTCCCAGCTCTCCCAGCCCAGCTCTCCCAGCCTGGCTCAGCATTCCCGGCTCTCCTCTCCAGGCTCAGCATTCCCAGCTCTCCCAGCCCGGCTCTCCCAGCCTGGCTGAGCATTCCCAGCTCTCCCAGCCCAGCTCTCCCAGCCTGGCTCAGCATTCCCGGCTCTCCTCTCCAGGCTCAGCATTCCCAGCTCTCCCAGCCTGGCTCAGCATTCCCGGCTCTCCTCTCCAGGCTGAGCATTCCCAGCTCTCCCAGCCCAGCTCTCCCAGCCCGGCTCAGCATTCCCGGCTCTCCCCTCCAGGCTGAGCATTCCCAGCTCTCCCAGCCCAGCTCTCCCAGCCCGGCTCTCCCAGCCTGGCTGAGCATTCCCAGCTCTCCCAGCCCGGCTCAGCATTCCCAGCTCTCCCCTCCAGGCGGAGCATTCCCGGCTCCCCCCTCCAGGCCGAGCATTCCCAGCTCTCCCAGCCCGGCTCAGCATTCCCAGCTCTCCCCTCCAGGCTGAGCACTGGCTCAGCATTCCCAGCTCTCCCCTCCAGGCTGAGCATTCCCAGCTCTCCCAGCCCGGCTCAGCATTCCCAGCTCTCCCCTCCAGGCTGAGCACTCCCAGCTCTCCCAGCCCGGCTCTCCTCTCCAGGCGGAGCATTCCCGGCTCCCGGGGTTTCCCTGGCCCGGCTGAGCCCGGCACTCACACTGGTGGTTGATGAAGCAGTGGGCTGCCAGCAGCTTCAGCGAGTGCACCTCGAAGAGCACGCGGTGGAACAGGAGGCTGTTGGCGCTGGGGCGCCGGTCGGGGTTCAGGGTCAGGCAGGACAGGATGAACTCCTGGGGCACAGCAGGGCCACAAGCTGGGGCGGGCAGGCTTTGTCCTGCTGCTCCCACAGGGATCGGGGATCACGGGCTGGAACAGAGCTCCCAGCCCAGGGAGCTGCCCCGTGCCCCTTCCCCTGCCCATTCCAATCCTGGGCAGCTCCAGGGATGGGCACGATTCCTGCTGCTGTCCACCCTGAGCTCCCCTGGCCCAGCCTGGGGCCGTTCCCTCTCCTCCTGTCCCTGTTCCCTGGGATCAGATCCCAAATCCCCCACGGCTGTCCCCTCCTGGCACGAGCTGTGCAGAGCCCCAGGGTCCCCCCTGAGCCTCTTTTTCCCCAGGCTGAGCCCCCTCCCAGCTCCCCCAGCTGCTCCAGACCTTTCCCCAGCTCTCATCCCTTCCCTGGACACCCTCCAGCACCTCAGTGTCCTCCCCTGGGGACCCCAGACCTGCCCCAGGACTGGAGGTGCCCTGGCAGTGCCAGCACAGGGGTCACTGCCCTAGGCCTGGGCTCGCCCTGGTTTTGATCCCATTTCCCAGGAAATGGACCCAAAGGGCTCGTGCTGCAGCAGGAGCAGTGACACAGGACAGGGACTGTCCCCAGCAGTGACACAGGACTGTCACCTGCAGCGACACAGGACAGGGATTGTCTGCAGCAGTGAAACAGGACAGGGACTGTCCCCAGCAGTGACACAGGACAGGGACTGTCCCCAGTAGTGACACAGCACAGGGATTCACACCCAGCAGTGACACAGGACTGTCCCCAGCAGTGACACAGGACAGGGATTGTCCCCAGCAGTGACACAGGACTGTCCCCAGCAGTGACACAGGACAGGGATTCACACCCAGCAGTGACACAGGAC